GAAACTGTACCCATTAAACAATAACTCACCATTTCCCCCCTCACCCTAGCACCTGGTCATCATGACTCTACTTTCTGTGTCTCTGAGTTCGACTATTGCAGATACTTGCTAGAAGGGAATCATCAATATGTTCCCTTCACTTAGCATCATGCCCTCCAGGTTCATCTGTGTGTAACATGGATCAGAATTTCATTCCTTTTTAAAGTTGAATAATATATCCCAACTTGGGTTGTTTCTACCTTTTGGCTCTCATGAATAGTGCTACTGTGAACATGGGTGTACAAACATCTGTTCCAGTTCCTGCTTCACTTCTCTTGTGTATATACCCACAACTGAAATTACTAGATCATATGGAACTCAATATTTAATTTTTAAAAATATTTTAAATTTAAATTCAGTTAATTGGCATATAATCTTTATTTGTTTCAGGGGTGCAGGTCTATGATTCATCAGTCTTTTATAATACCCAGCGCTCATTACAACACATAGCCTCCCCAATGTTCATCACCCAGTTACCTCATCCCCCTATCCCTCTCCCCTCCAGGAATCCTCAGTTTGTTTCCTAAGATTAAGAGTCTCTAATGGGGGGCGCCTGGGTGGCTCAGTGGGTTTAAGCCTCTGCCTTCGGCTCAGGTCATGATCTCAGGGTCCTGGGATCGAGCCCCACATCGGGCTCTCTGCTCAGCAGGAGCCTGCTTCCCCCTCTTCCATTCCCCCTGTTTGTACTCCCTCTCTCGCTGTGTCTCTTGCTGTCAAAATCTTAAAAAAAAAAAAAAAAAAAAAGAGTCTCTAATGGGCGCCTGGGTGGCTCAGTGGGTTAAAGAGTCTCTTATGATTTGTCTCCCGCTTTGGTTTCATCTTGTTTCATTTTTTCCTTTCCTCTTCCCCTATGATTCTCTGCCTTGTTTCTTAAATTCTACATATCAGTGAAATTATATGATAATTGTCTGATTGACTTATTTCACTTAGCATAACACCCTCTAGTTCCATCCACATCATTGCAAATGCCAAGATTTCATTTTTGTTGACTATGTAATATTCCATCATGTGTGCATGTGTGTATACCACATCTTCTTTATCCATTCATCTGTTGATGGGCATCTGGGCTCTATCCATAGTTTTTTGCTGCTATAAACATTGGGTTGCTGGTGCCCCTTCAGATCACCACATTTGCATCTTTGGGGTAAATACCCAGTAGTGCAATTGCTGGGTCATAGGGAAGCTCTGTTTTCAGTTTTCTGAGGAACCTCCATACTCTTTTCCAGACTGGCTGCACCATTTTACATTCTCACTGATACACAAGGATTCCAATTTCTCCACATTCTAACACTTGTTTTCTTTTTTCTTCCCCCTATATAATGGCATGCTTTTTTGCTACATCCTGCTCTGTGTGGCTGACTGTTTCTCAACATGTCTTCCCACAAGACTTTCAGAATCAAGTGATTCCTAGCCAAGAAACAAGCAGAATCATCCCATTCCCCAGTGGACTTGGGTGAAAACTGGTGATAAAATCAGGTACAGCTCCAAGAGGACATACTGGAGGAGAACCCAGCTAAGTCTAGAAGGTGTCACACATCATGAGATGACACACCTAGTTGGCACCACATATTTAATTAAGCTGCATGCAGATCATATGTTCTATCCTGTCACTCTGTAAACATCCTTCCTACGGGACCAATAGACATGTTTTATCAGGGAAATGATTTTTCTGTTACTATGCCTTTGTACCAGTATATTGGTTCAGTAATAAATATGAAACCTTTCAACTCTAAAAAATATATAAATAAATAAATAATAAAATAATGGCTTTATTAATGGATATGAAGTGGTTACCTCATTGTAGTTTTGATTTGCTCCCTAATGGTTAGTGATGATGAGCATCTTTTTATGTGCTTATTATCCATTTGCATATCTTCTTTGGAGAAATGTCTGTGCATTGCCCATTTTTTAATTGGGTTGTTTTTTGTTGTTGTTGAATTGTAGGAGTTCTTTATTTATTCTGGATATTAATCCATTATCAGATATGTGATTGCAAATACTTTCTCACGACTGAGTATGATGTAAGCTGTGGGGTTTCTATATATGGCCTTTGTTATGTTGGGGTAGTTTCCTTCTATTCCTAGTTTATTTGGTGTTTTTCTTTTTTTTTTTTTCTTTTTTTTTTTTTTATTTGACAGAGAGAGATCACAAGCAGGCAGAGAGGCAGTCAGAGAGAGAGGAGGAAGCAGGCTCCCCGCTGAGCAAAGAGCCCGATGCGGGGCTCGATCCCAGGACCCTGAGATCATGACCCGAGCCGAAGGCAGCGGCCCAACCCACTGAGCCACCCAGGCGCCCCTATTTGGTGTTTTTCATCATGAAAAGGATATTATGTCAAATGCCTTTCCTGAATCAGTTGAGATGATCATGTATTTTTCTCTTCATTCTGTTAATGTGGCATATTACACTGATTTTTGTATGTTGAGCCATCCTTGCATTTGTGGAATAAATTCCACTTTGTTATGGTATATAATGCTCTTAATATGCTGCTAAATTCAGTTTGCTAGTACTTTGTTGAGGATTTTTGCCTCAGTATTCATACGGAAGATCAGTCTTTTAGGTTTCTTTTTCGTGTTAGTGTCTTTGGCTTTGGTATCAGGGTAATGCTGGCCTTATAAAATGAGTTATGAAATGTTTCCTTTTCTTCAGTTGTTTGGAAGAGTTTGAAGAAGATTGGTTAGTTCTTCTGTAAACGTTCAATAGAATTCCTCAGTGAAACCATCTGGTCCAGAACTTTTTTTTGTTTGGAGGTTTTCATTATTGATTTAATCTCCTCCTTATAATTCTAGTCAGATTTCCTATATCTTCATAATTCTGTCTTGATAGGTTTTGTGTTTCTAGAAATTTTTTCATTTCATCTGAATTACTCAATTTGTCAGCATACTACTGTTCGTAGTACTCAGGATATTTTTAATTTCTATAGAATTGGTTGTAATTTCCCACCATGTATAATTTTAGAACACACACCTGCATGCCAAGTGTACTTTGTTAGGCTCTGGAACCCATCTTTGAATATCATGGCATCACAGACTTACAGTCCAGGGCACTTAAAATGTGATTTAAGGACCAAAGTTGGATAGCCTTCCACTTTTCAGAAATAAATAAACACACACACACACACACACACACACACACACACACTTTATATATATATATATATTTAAGATATTGACTTAAGATATTTGATTTAAGAATTTAAGATATTTAAGAAATTTTCTTTAAGAATTTAAGAAATTCTTTGAAGAATTAAGGAAAGAAAATTTTAAGGTATTGATTCCCAAGTCACATTCAGTAAAGGAAAGCCCTTATGATAGTCTTGTCAGTCCTTCCTTGTTGCTAAATCTCTCTGGTCTCAAACTATATCTGATAAATAGCCTTGGAGCTAGGACCAGATAGCAGCGGTGCCCTCCAGTCCAGCACTACTCCTGGCAGATATTTCAATTCAGGGTGGGGATGAGGCTCCTTTTCCCTTTCTTTTCAGTATAATATCCACACAGTAGATGACACAAGGGACACTCATCTTAAGGATACAGTTTAATGGGCTTTTACATATGTCTAGACCTGTGTAACCAACAGTAGATCTAAAACATTCACATCTCCCAGAAAAATCCTTTATGTGTACATGAGATGCTGGGAAGATTTGGACTCTTAAGATCTCAGTCTGCCAGTAGTGTTGAGTAAGGAGAGTGAGAGGGACTCTGAGTCTTCATCTGGGCGCCTTGCTGAAGGAGGCATCTGTGGAATCTCACTCTGCTAGGAGTGGCTCAGATGTTCACATGTTCTAAAGAATCAGGCATGGCCTGAGCCCTCCAGCAAGCTCCAGGTGTGCTATCACTCATGCCACACACATACACACCACACCTGCTACACACACCATCCTTTCAACATTTATGGGATTTGCAGGTCCTGAGTTGGTGGAGTATCCAAAGATTAAAAAAGCCACAGTCCTTGCCCTTTTGAAGGAGAGTCAGTGTTACTACAGCCCAGAGACACCTGGAACTCTTTTTCCAATTTTTTAGATGTGATTGAAAGCAGCTGTCATATTCTTTTGTACCTTTCTTTGCTTCTCAGAAAATCCTAGCTCTTCCCTCCCTCTTCTTGTCATAAGCATCACTCACTCACCTGAAATTAGGTTGGGGGTGGGGTCGTTTTCACCTTGATCATCTTGCTCTGTTCCTGCTTCTTCAGCCATGGCTTCTAGAACTGCCAGTTTGCTTATTTGTCCGGGTAGTGGGTCCAGTGATGTGGTATTAGAAGGATATGGGCTATTTAATTTGGAGAGCATCCGTTAGCAGGTAAGTTGATTATTATAGAGAGGGATTTTATAAGAAGGAGGTGGGACTGATTGTTCATTGTCTGTGAAAGAAGCAGTAAAGAAATGCTCGGGTTAAGAAAGGAAAGCTGGTGTTTGGAGAACAGGAAGAAAATCCGTGTCCAAATAGTGCCAGGATGGTGCCACATGGCCTCCACCCCAGCCCTCTGAGAGGAGAGGACAGTGAGACAGCAGCCCAGAGGAGAGTTTCTTAGTTCTCCTACTCCAGCTGACGGGCAGGGTTGTGCTGACACTATGGTCCTTCTAACCAAACCATTCCATGATTCTATGATGTCACTGAAGAGAGAAGAATGGGGAACTGGGTTTGGGTCCAGCTGCTCCAATTCCTCTCCTCTGGATTCTGATAGTTTTTGGGGTGAGGGGAGGTGAGCTGAGTGATCACTCGTGTCCCAGCTCAGTCTCCCCTCTAACCACCTCAGCCCCCACCACATTTATGGAGAGAAATTAGCCAGTGTGAGTCAACTTCATTGAAACAAACACAGCATCTTTTATGAAGCTGATAAAAGACAACAGTGAAAATAGCCTTTTATTCTTCTGTTTCTAGAAAACTTAAAGAACAAGAGAACTACATTCAAACTAAGCTGGAAAAGAATATATGTGCCATCTGTGATTGTGAGAGTGGACGAGTCTTCTAGCTAACCCTATGAGCTTTGAAACCACAGCAATCACTTTCTTCATCCTCCTTCTAATTTGCTTCATTTGCATCCTCCTTTTATTGATGGTTTTTTTATATAAATGGTATAAATCCATGCTGACAAATTGGGATCAGATTTCAAGTCACACTAGCAAATATATCTAGAAATAATATAAATCAACTTAAAATAGAACAAATAATGCTATAGCTATTTACTTTTTCCATTTCAGAATTTTAGAAATTCTAATTTCCTGTTTAAAAATGAAATTCCATGCCAAGTAAATCAAGACCATTCTTCTATTTCTGAATTTTTTGCTTATTCGTTTTCAGTTTCCAAACCAAGAGCGATGAAGATACAGAAAAAAGTCCTTGTACAAATGCTAATGGAGGTGAAGATTGTTTAGCTACTAATGCAGCTACTGCAGAGACAGACAATTCAGGAGACCAAGAAAAGTAAGTCTGTACCATAGAATGTGATAGAAAGCCATTTTGGGGTATGATAATGGTGACTAACATAAATAAATGCATAAATTTTAAAAATCCTGCTGATTACCCAGGCCTGTCCTAACACAAATCATGGACTTGAACGGACCGACGAGGCCTGGCATTCTTGTCCAGAGACGGAGTAAAGAAGAGGTGGTCACACCCTTAGAAAACAAAGAGAACGTAGTAGAGAAAGAGGAGGACAAAACAAAAGAGAAAGAAGAGCCTAAGAATGCTGAAGGAAATGGTGAAGAGGTGATGGCCTTATCTCCCCCCAAGGACAAGGTCAGAATTTGTTTGATTGAAAAGGTGGTAAATTATTTGGCTAGGTACAGTGAGATGGTCTTGCCTGAAACTTAAGTCTGTACCTGGAAGGAGCACAATGTCTGTAGTCATCTAAACCATTCTTCTTAGTTCATCAATCCATGTTATTAAACCAGTCATGTGCACCAGATCCAGACACTTGCTCATTTTTCACACTTACATTTGTGGTGTTCTTAATAATTCCCCTTCATTTTGCTTTTCTCAGAATCCTAGGATCTTAGAGCTGGCGGAATCCTTGGAGATCATCTAGAGATCCAGCCCTCTCATGTTACAAATGAGAAAATGAGATGACTTGTTCAAGGTCATTCCTCCACCACGGCCAAGCTCAGGACCAGAGCCCATGCCCCTGTTCTGGTTCCAGGCTGTTCAGCAGCACACAAACAGGCTTTCTTGAGCTCCCTGTCAGAACTCTCTGATAGGAACAGTTTGCATCTTCCCTCAACACAAGGCCCATGCCCAAAGGCATGACGATGGCTTGGGGGACTCTTTTCTAACCACAGAGATATGAAAATTAGACCATGATGGATTATCACTGCTTTCCTGTATCATTTAGAAATACTTCTGTTTCTCAACTAGCAATGTTTCTTTTTTTAATGCTTCTTTTATTTATTTTTATTTTTTAAAATTTTTATTCACAGAACTCACCATAGCACATACCCTCCTCACTAACAATGCTTCTGTATTTAATTTAAAATATAAACTAAGTTAAAAATATAACATTTTTTAAAGCAGGACTTCTTGCCTTCATAAATTGATCTTTTGTACTGTTTGTTCCATTCTCTTGCAGGACGAAGATTTGCAAAAACCACCCATACCTCTCAGTACAACTCCCTCAGGTGTTGAAAACCCCAAAAGACCTTTAAAAGGAGTGACATTTTCTAGGGAGGTAATTGTTGTGGACCTTGGGAAGGAATACCCAACACCTCGAAGCTATACTCGAGAACATAAAGAAAGAAAATGAGCTCAAAAAAGGCTGAGAGTGAAAGAAATGTAAGCTTAGACTACCAGTGAAATGACTGGGGGTACAAGATCATGTTGAAACAGCAAAATACAGGGAATTAAGCACATACAAATAGTATTTTACCTTTGTGCAGAAAGAAGTGGGCTACATGCAAAGTTCTGTAAGTAAAATACCCAGAGCTTGAATATAGTGTTTTTAAAATTCAAATCTGAGTTCAAGAAATTGATTGTATTAAGTGTCCTTAAAACACTGTCTACTCAAACACTGTTCTAACATGTGAATAAAGTTATTTGTGTTTGCGCAGATGTCTATTAGGTAAATCATATTTAAGGGGAACTTTGGAGAAAACACCTGTTTTAATTTGTGGTTTTTAAAATTTAAATTCAATTAACATATAATGTTTTATTAGTTTCAGAGGTAGAGGTCAGGGATTCATTAGTTGCGTATAATACCCTGTGCTCATTACATCATGTCCATCACATGGTTATCCCATCCTCCCACCCAACCTCCTCCAGCAACTCTGTTTGTTTCCTATGAAAAAGAGTCTCTTACGGTTTGTCTCCCTCTCTGATTTTGTCCTGTTTTATTTTTCCTCCCTTCCCTATCATCCTCTGTTTTGTTTCTTAAATTCCACATGTGAGTGAAATCATATGATAATTGGCTTTCTCTGACTGACTTATTTCACTTAGCATAATACCCTCTAGTTCCATCAATGTCATTGCAAATGGCAAGATTTCATTTTTGATGGCTACATAGTATTCCATAGTGTGTGTGTGTGTGTGTGTGTGTGTGTGTGTGTGTGTGTGTGTGTCTCTTCTTTATCCATTCATCTGTCAATGGACATCTGGGCTCTTTCCATAGTTTGGCTGTTGTGGACATTGCTGCTATAAACATTGGGATGCACATGCCCCTTCGGATCACTACATTTGTATCCTTGGGGTAAACACCTAATAGTGTAATTGCCGGGTTGTAGGGTTGTTCTATTTTCAACTTTTTGAGGAATCTCCATATTGTTTTCCAGAGTGGCTGTACCATTTGCATTTCCACCAACAGTATAAGAGGGTTCCCCTTTCTCTGCATCCTCGCCAACATCTGCCACTTCCTGAATAGTTAATTTTATCCATTCTGACTGGTGCGAGGTAGTATCTCACTGTGGTTTTGATTTGTATATCCCTGATGCCTAGTGATGTTAAGCATTTTGTCATGCTTCTGTTAGCCATTTGTATGTCCTCTTTGGAGAAATGTCTGTTCATATATTCTGCCCATTTCTTGATTGGATTATTCTTTGGGTGCTGAGTTTGATAAGTTCTTTATAGATTTTGGATACTAGCCCTTTATCTGATAAGACATTTACAAATATCTTCTCCCATTCTCTCAGTTGTCTTTTGGTTTTTTCCATGGTTTCCTTTGCTGTGCAAAAGTTTTTTATCTTGATGAAATCCTAGTAGTTCATTTTTGTCTTTGTTTCCCTTGTGTTGGAGACATGTCTAGCAAGAAGTTGCTGCAGCCAAGATCAAAGAGACCTGTGTTCTCCTTAATATTTTGATGGATGCCTATCTCACATTGAGGTCTTTCATCCATTTTGAGTCTATTTTTGTGTATGGGGTAAGAAAATGGTCCAGTTTCATTCCTCTGCATGTGGCTATCCAATTTTCTCTACACCATTTGTTGAAGAGACTGTCTTTTTTCCATTGGATATTCTATCCTGCTTTGTTGAAGTAGAGTTGAGGGCCCATTTTTGGGTTCTTTACTCTGTTCCATTCATCTATGTGTCTGTTTCTGTGATAGGGATTGTAGTGAATGTGTAAATTACTCTAGGCAGTACAGACATTTAAACAATATTCATTCCCTCCAATCCACGAACATGGAATGTTTTGCCATTTCTTTGTGTCTTCCTCACTTTCTTTCATGAGTTTCTATAGTTTTCAGAGTACAGATCTTTACCTCTTTGATTAGGTTTATTCCTAGGTATCTTACGGTTTTGGATATAGTTGTAAATAGGATCAACTCCTTAATTTCTCTTTCTTCTGTGTCATTGTTAGTGTATAGAAATGCAACTGGTTTCTGTGCACTGATTTTATATCCTGCCATGTTGCTGACTTCCTGTATGAGTTCTAGCAATTTTGGGGTGGAGTCTTTGGGTTTTCCACATAGAGTATCATGTCATCTGCAAAGAGTGAGAGTTTGACTTCCTCTTTGCCTATTCAGATTCCCATTATTTCTTTTTGTTGTCTGATTGATGAGGCTAAGACTTCTGGTACTATGTAGAACAACAGTGGTAAAAGTGAGCATCCCTGTCGTCTTCCTGATCTTAGGGAAGAAGCTCTCAGTTTTTCCTCATTGAGACTGATATTTGTCATGGCCTTTTCATATATGGCTTTTATGATACTGAGGTATGTTCCCTTTATCTCTACATTGTGGTGTGTTTTAAGAAAGAATGTTTTGTTAAATGGTTTTTCTGCATCTATTGATAGGATCATATGGTTCTTATCCTTTATCAATATGGTGTCACACTGATTGATTTGTGGATGTTGAACCACCCTTACAGCCCAGGAATAAATCCCAAATGGTCGTGGTGAATAATCCTTTTAATATACTGTTGGATCCTATTGGCTAGTATCTTGTTGAGAATGTTGGCATCCATGTTCATTAGGGATATTGGTCTGTAATTCTCCTTTTTAAGTGGGGTCTTTGGGATCAAGGAAATGCTGGCTTCATAGAATGATTTTGGAAGTTTTCCTTCCATTTTAATTTTTGGAACAGTTTCAGAATAGGTATTTATTTATTCTTCTTTGGTAGAATCCCCCTAGGAAGCCATCTGGCCCTGGACTATTGTTTGTTGGGAGGTTTTTGATTAGTGATTCAATTTATTTGCTGGTTATTGGTATGTTCAGATTTTCTATTTCTTCTTGTTTCAGTTTTGGTAGTTTATATGCTTCTAGGAATTTCCATTTTTATCTAATTTGTTGGCATATAATTGCTCATAATATTCTCCTATAATTATATTTCTTTGGTGTTGGTTGTGGTCTCTCCTCTTTCACTTAATGATTTTTTAATTTGAGTCTTTTTTCTTTTTCATAAGTCTGGCTATGAGTTAACCAATCTTGTTAATTCTTTCAAAGAACCAGCTCTTAGTTTTATTGATTTGATCCCCTGGGTTTCTTTTATTTCTATATCATTGATTTCTGGCCTGATCTTTATTATTTCTCTTATCCAGCTGTATTTAGGCTTTTTTTGCTGTTCTTTTTATAGCTCCTTTAGGTGTAGGGTTAGGTTGTGTATTTAAGACTTTTCTTGCTTCTCAAGGAAGGCCTGTATTGCTCTCTATTTTCTTCTTAGGACTGCCTTTGCTGCATCCCAAAGGTTTTGAACTGTCATGTTTTTATTTTCATTTGCTTTCATGTGTGTTTTAAAATTCTTCTTTAATTTCCTTGTTGACTAATTTATTCTTTAGTAGGATTTTTTTAACTTGCATATATTTGTGATTCTTCTAAATTTTTTCTTACAGTAGACTTCAAGTTTTATAGCATTGTGGTCTGAAAGTATGTGTGGTATGATCACAATATTTTTGTACCACTTGAGTCCTTATTTGTAACTTAGTATGTAATCTATTCTGGAGAATGTTCTATGTGCACTTGAAAAGAATGTGTATTCTGCTGCTTTAGGATGAAATGCTCTAAATATATCTGTTAAGTCCACCTGGTGCAGTGTGTCATTCAAAGCCTTTGTTTCCTTGTTGATCTTCTGCTTAGATGATCTGTCCATTGCTGTGAATGGGATGTTAAAGTCCCCTACTATTGTATTATTATCAATGAGTTTCTTTAAGTTTGTTATTAACTGATTTATATATTTGACTGCTCCCAAGTTAGGGCATAAATATTTATAAATGTTAGATTTCTTGTTGGATAGACCCCCTTATTATGATATACTGTCCTTCTTCATCTCTTGTTACATTCTTTGGTTTAAAATCTAGTTTGTCTGATATAAGGGTGGCTACTCCAGCTTTCTTTTGATGTCCATTAGCTTAATAAAAATGGTTTTCCACCCCCTCACTTTCATTCTGGAGGGGTTTGGGGTTTAAAATGAGTCTCTTGTACGCAACATATTGATAGGTCTTTTTTTTTTTTTAATCCATTCTGATACCCTGTCTTTTGATTGGAGCATTTAGTCCATTTACATTCAGAGTAATTATTGAAAGATATTAATTTAGTGCTACTGAGTTACCTGTAAAGTTGCTGTTCCTGTAGATTGTCTCTTTGCCTTTCTGGTTTTTTTACTTTGGTCTGTCTTTATGCTCAAAGGGTCATCTTTAAAATTTCTTGCAGGGCTGGTTTAGCATTCATGAATTCCTTCAGTTTTTGTTTGTCTTAGAAACAATCTCTTCTTTTCAGAATGAAAGCCTTGCAGGATATAGTATTTCTGGCTGTATATTTTTCCTGTTTAGCATGTTGAATATATCATGCCAGTCCTTTCTGGCCTGCCAGATCTCTGTGGACAGATCTGCTGCCAGCCTTTTGTGTCTACCTTTACAGGTTAAGGACGTCTTGTCCCAAGCTGCTTTCAGGATTTTCTCTTTCTCTTTGTAATTTGCAAGTTTCACTATAATATTCCATGGCAGTGACCTATTTTCAGTGATTTTGTGGGGGAGTTCTCAGTGTCTCTTGGACTTGAAAAACCTATTTCTTTCCCCAGATTAGAGAAGTTCTCAGCTATAATTTGTTCAAATAAACCTCTTGCCCTTTTTTCCTGCTCTTTGTCTGGGACTCCTATTGTATGGGTATTATTTTGTTTTATGGAATAGCTGAGTTCCCTAAGTCTACCTTCATGATCTAATATTTTTCTTTCCCTCTTCTTTTAAGCTTTGTTATTTTCCAAATTTCTCTTCTATATCACTGCTTCACTCTTCTGCTTCATTCATCCTCATTTTTATGGCCTCCACTTGGGACTGTATCTCAGTTATAGCATTTTTAATTTTGCCTGATTAAATTTTAGTTCTTTTA